GCCCGCCGCCCGCCACTCACGCGTCCTCCAGGCAGTGCGCGGCGCTCAGCACCCACTGCTCCGTCACCAGGGCGCCGCCGCACACGTGCGTGCCGTTCACCTGGACCGACGCCATGTAGGGGCGCGCGTGGGCGCCGGCCTCGCGGCCACCCAGGATCCGACCACGGGGCTGCGCCGCTGTAGGGGAGCAGCCGGGGTGAGGACCGCGGGGTCTGCAGCGCCCAAGGGCCCCTCCACCCTGCTCAGGCCGGAAGTCCCCGCTGGCCTCCTCTAGGGCAGACAACAGGGAGTGGTGGGGCCTGCGGCACAGCCTGCTGACGAGGGAAACGGGAAACGGGGCTGACCAAAGCCAGCGCACCGCGCGGCCCAGCGGCTGCCGCAGACATGGTTGGGGTCCCACTACACCAGCTCGCCGGGCCGGCCATTTCTACAGTCCCTTGGTGTAACAGCTCGCCCTGGGTGGGGCCTCTACCCTGTCTGTCCTGGCTCCCCAGGCTCATGCCCACTCACCGCACAGGGCCGCTCCTAAGAGGGCCAGAGCTGCCGAGCCCAGGGCACCATGCATGGTGCTCGCGTGGTGGCCGCCACTCTGCCCCGGGCTGGCGCCGGGTGCTCTTATAGGGCAGGAGGGGGGTGGGGGTGGGGGCCCCAAACCCCATGTGCCCTTGGGCAGTGGCCCAGTTAGCCCTGGAGCCGGGGACTACTGGGGTCCTCATGCTGGGAGGCGCGGCCTTCAGGAAGGACCTGCCCACCCAGCCCGATACAGTCCCTGAGACCCCAATGTCCTCCCACCTCAAGTTTCACAATCTCAGCTGGAGGCCCAGTTTGTAAACAACCCACTTCCTCACTCAGCTCCCAGCCCCCTCCTTTTCTTCCTCCTCCAACTTGGAGAGGTCAGGTGGGGGTGGGGGGTTACATGACACCCTTGTCCCATCCCTGTGGCCTGGGGCCTGGCAGCCTACACCATGGACAATGAAGGGGGGGCAGGAAGTGGAAGCACATCGCAGCACACCACGTGTCAGGGCAGCTGGAAGACCACTGGACACAAAAGAGAAAAAACAGGGCAAACAGGGCGAGCCTTCAACAGGGGTGCTACAAGGGAAGCTTGGGAGATGGCCTTCAGGAGTGGCTTGATCCAGGCACCTGAAAGCATCAGCCATCAGCCTCTGCTTTCTCCTTTCCTCCTCGGTGGTTTCTCTCCTCTTCAGGCTCCCTATTGAGACCCAGATGTGTCCCAGTGGCTCAGCGGGCCCCTCTTAAAATTGTCTGTCATTCCAGCCAAAATCTCAGGGCTACCTCTGATTGGCCAGGCCTTGGTCACGTGCTCCCTTGGAAACCACTCTCTGTGGAGAGGTCCCGATTAGTAGAATCTGGGTCATGTGACCTCCACAAGGTGAGGAAAGGACTCAGTGTCTCACATGTTCAGGGAGGTGGGTGCTGGGACCAGAGGGACGGTGGTTGAGTGAACAGGGCCTCGGAGGACGGAGCATGGGGCTTTGTATGTCCACTGGGCATTCCTCGCCCCCGTGGAAAGTTTAATACCGACAGAGAATAGGCTGGGTCCTAATTAACCTTAGAGACGTGGGAACAGAGCCCAGGAGTCCTAATTAACCTTAGAGACGTGGGAACTTCTCATAGGCTGGGTCCTTATTAACCTTAGAGATGAGGGGACAGAGCCTAGGGGTCCATATTAACCTTAGAGACGAGGGGACAGAGCCTGGGTCCTTATTAACCTCAGAGATGAGGGGACAGAGCCTAGGGGTCCTTATTAACCTTAGAGATGAGGGGACACAGCCTGGGTCCTTATTAACCTCAGAGACGAGGAGACACAGCCCGGGGGTCCTTATTAACCTTAGAGATGAGGGGACACAGCCCGGGGGTCCTTATTAACCTTAGAGATGAGGGGACAGAGCCTGGGTCCTTATTAACCTTAGAGATGAGGGGACAGAGCCGGGGGGGGGTCCTTATTAACCTTTAGAGACGAGGGGACACACCCGGGGGGGGGTCCTTATTAACCTTAGAGACGAGGGGACAGAGCCCGGGGGGCCTTACTAACCTTAGAGACTAG